ACCTGTTATATGGTCGCCGACTTGACACCCGATCGGAACAGAATATTGACAGTGTTACATCTGAAGATTTGCACGTGAAACTGAATAAAAATTTACAGAGACAAAACGAACTAATCAACCACTTTCGACCAAGATGGAAACACGAATATCTGACGTCACTCCGTGAATTCCACCGTACATCTGGAAGAAACGAACAAACAATACAAATAGGAGACATTGTACAAGTACACAATGATACAAATCGTATAATGTGGAAATAAGCAGTTATACAAGATTTAGTTCGTGGAAAAGATGGACTCATTCGATCCGCTGTTATCAAGACCGACACTGGAAATACCAACCGTCCAATTATGAAGCTCTATCCGTTGGAAATACGCAGTACAAATGGTGACAGTGAATGAACTTTTCTGCCCAGGAGAAATTAGTTTATGTATAGACTGTTCTATTAACTACGGTTATTAGATAGACTTGTAAAAGTGTTAAATTATACAAACGTGAACAGTGAAGTTTAAAAAAAAATATTGAGAGACTTTAACTATGATTTTATTTCATTTTGTTACGCAATTGATTAGAAACATTTAATTTTAAACTTAAGTATTTTTCATATTGTATTGCACATTTGAGTTAAATATCATTTTCCGCGGCCCCAGAATGTTAAGAATTGCGCTAATGTTAAACGTACCCGTTTGCGGTGCGGCCGCTATCTTTGTGACGTCGCGTTATTGTGATGTACGATTATGTTTATTTGAATAGAAAGTTGTAATGGCAGACGTATTTATATCTATAACGCCTTAGTCAAGCTTACGATCACGATTAACAATACACAACGCAATCCATTTAACTACACTATGTGACCATCAACACGGGTTCAGAGCAAAAAGATCTTGCGAAACCAAACTCCTGATAACCCTAGATGAAATTGGCAAGAACTTAGACCAAGGAGAACAGACGGACATCATCATGCTAGATTTCTCCAAAGCGTTTGACAAAGTGACCCACAAGAGACTCCTCCAAAAAATGGACCATTACGGAGTACAAGGATTAACCCTCCAGTGGATACAATACTTCCTGAGCAAGAGAACCCAATCTGCATTGCTTGAAGGGCATAAATCCGACCCCCTAGACGTAATCTCAGGGGTGCCACAGGGGACAGTCATTGGACCACTCTTATTCCTGGCCTGCATAAACGACCTGCCACAATCTACAACTTCTGAGGCATGGTTATTCACAGACGACTGCTTAGTTTATAGGACGATCAAGAACAACAATGACAGTCAGACACTACAAGACGACCTAAACAAACTCCAAGAGTGGGAGTCACGATGGCAGATTAATTTCCATCCCGAAAAGTGCATAGTGATACGGATTACCAACAAGAGAAATCCACTGATTAAGAACTACCAACTACATGGTCACACCTTAGATGTAGTTGAGCATGGGAAATACTCAGGAGTCACCATTAATCACAACCTATAGTGAAACGCACATCAACCAGACGGTAGGTAAGGCATCAAGGACACTAGGTTTCCTGAGAAGGAACCTAGGGCGGTGTAAACCTGAAGTCAAAGCCAATGCCTATATCACCATGGTTAGACCAACTCTTGAATATGCTTCCACTGTATGGGACCCAGGCGCGTAGCTACGTTTACGTCAAAACGCCCGGGCATACACATGAATTTTGAAAAAAAATATTTAAATCTAAATAAATTAAAAGAATTGGTTAAAAGCACATTAGGCTTGTAATACTTTCTTCAATGACGACATTAACTTTATGAATCAAATGATATGATATTACATATTTGTTCATTTTCTGTCAAAGTCTGAATCTACTGTGAATTCTACTCAATTTCCTATTGTTCAAAGCAATTTATTATATATAAAATCTTGTTAACAATGAAAGTGGTGGTGTCTGATAGTCTGAAGTCAAGGAGACAGCATTAAGGATTTAACTAGGCAAAACGTTTATTGTACTATTTTTGCCAAACGACATGTGATATGAAAATAAAATAATTTCGAATTTTGTCTCCTGTAAATGACTGGTCAAACTTGTCACATGTAAAACAACACCTACAAGATGATTCTTCTCACCATGATTGTGTAAAATTGGGACAAGACTTTTTGGGTGTTGCAAATTCAATATCCAAGTCAATAGCTTCTCAAGTTCTTCACTGTCATCCTTTCATCATGAGATTCTAACAAAAAACCGACATATACTTTCAAAAATAGTTGATGTAATCATCCTTTGTGAAAAACAGAACATACCACTTCGTGGCCATACTGAAGGAAAAAAGTAACTTTATGGCAACACTTTTAAAGACAATTGCAAATTCGGATGACGTCTTTGCTATGCATCTTGAGACTGTCACTTTGGTCAAATACACATTCCCAAAAAACCAAAATTAACTCATTGTCATACGTGCAGACCAAATATTAGACCAACGTATATAAGGACTCCTGTTGTAGCTCATCCTTTCTTGTTCTACTTGCTGAATACAACAACAGATAAAGCATCTCAAACCCAGCTTTCGGTTTGTGTTACATTTAGGGAGCTATCATTTGATTTTTATGGGGGACTAGGATGAAATTTGGAAAAAAAAGGCAGGACAGGAGTTTTGAGTAAAAAAAAGGCAGAATGGGCAACTTGGCAAAAAAAAAGGCAGGATGACAATTTATGTAAAAAAAAGTCAGGATAAACTAATGTTACACTATTGTTTCAGAAAAAAGGGTGAAGGTTTGGTACCATTAAAACGTTTAAACCCGCTGCATTTGTTTGCACCTGTCCTAAGTCAGGAATCTGATGTTCAGTAGTTGTCGTTTGTTGATGTGGTACATAAGTGTTTCTCGTTTCTCGTTTTTTATATGGATTAGACCGTTGGTTTTCCCGTTTGAATGGTTTTACATTAGTAATTTTTGGGGCCTTTTATAGCTTACTGTTCGATGTGAGCCAAGGCTCCGTGTTGAAGACCGTACTGTGACCTATAATTTTTTACTTTTATAAATGTTGACTTGGATGGAGAGTTGTCTCATTGGCACTCATACCACATCTTCTTATATCTAATAAAAAAGGGCAGGACCGAACAGAGTGAAAAATAAAAAGGCAGGACAGAGATTACAACTAAAAAAATACAGGACAAAGTTTTTCATCCTAGCCCCCCTAAAAATCAAATGGTAGCTCCCTTACGTGAACTATTTTTAGGATTCAATCACGCCAAAGCTTCAACAAAAGAAGCAATTGCAAATCTGCTACTTGAATTTATGAATCAAAATGGTATTTATCTACAAAAATTGAGAGCACAGGGTTATAATGGTTCTAGCATTACACTGCATATACAATGATTTATACAATTTGGGTAACTTTTATTCACAATATCGTTCAAACCTTATCATTTGATTTTTTGATAAATGTACCCATTTCTTTTTTATATTTCTATGGAAGCTGAAATACGATATGTGATTTTCACCCCACATCTCCTGTATCTCTTTCTCGATAACGCGTGAGCTTCCGTGGGGGGGGGGGTCTCCCACATGAGCCCCTTTCAGAGCTACACCCTGGATCCAGACCCCTCGCTGAGGTTCGGGCGTACACTTAAAAAAGGCCTTGCTACGCCACTGGGACCCCTACCATAACAACCTAGAAAAAGAAATAGAACAAGTGCAGAGGAGAGCAGCTAGGTTCGTGTACAATGAATACCAAGACGTATCCCCAGGTTGTGTCAGCTCTCTAATGGAGAGACTTAGATGGGAGCCACGTAAAGGTCGCCCCTCCAAAGACCGCCTCATCATGGCCTATAAGATACAAAACAGATTGGTAGACATTGACCCATCTAATTATTAAACCCGGAGAGGAGGTCATCGCATACACCAACAGCGTACTCTAAAAGACCAGTACAGATACTCCTTCTTTCCAAGATCAACTAGGGAATGGAACACTTTACCGGAAAAAGCAACATCATCAGCTACACTAGAAGAGTTCAAGGCCAGTCTTACCATCCTGCCAGAGGCCTTGACAGGAGCTTCTCACATCTAGAACACCATAGATCCCAGATGTACATAGTTTTAATTTGTAAATAAATATTGTAAATAGCTAATGCTGGATTTGATAATGGAGGAGGAAAGGCCTCATGATTAAACAAGCAAGAGTCATTATACACTCAAGAAAAGTCCGACTCTGTATTGAAAGAAGAAGATGAAGTCAATAGAAAATGTGCTTATGAGATTATAACCTTTTTTAGTATGAAACCATAGAATCTTGTGGTCTCTCCAATAACTTTCCAAAAACCCACTTCCAAATGGTTGTTGTCTTGTAATATATACATGGTTGATGGGAGAATGATCATGAAATCTTAACTTGACCTTCTTTTAGTCACAGGAAACAACATATCTAAATTTGAAAAGATTTTGTCAAATTGATTTCAAGTTATTGCACGGAAAACTCTCCAAAACAGAATCACTTTTCGTTACTTTAAGGTCTACAACTCAACGATGATTAAAGCTAAAATCGTGAAAATTGAAGTTGACGTTCATTTAGTCAGGAAACAACCTTTCTAAATTTGAAAAGATTTCGTCAAATTGTTATCAAGTTATTGCACGGAAATATCAAATTGTTTTCAAGTCATTGCACGGAAACGCTCCAAGTACCACTTTTCATTACTAAAATGTTTACAACTATGAAAGCTAAAATTGTGAAAATTGAATTTCATTTAGTCACAGGAAACAACATATCTAAATTTGAAAAGATTTCGTCAAAAGCATTTCCAAGTTATTGCATGGACAATGCTCTAAGTATCACTTTTCGCTACTTAAAGGTCTACAACCTAACAACGATAAATACTAAAAAGCTAAGCAACTCTTATAAACTGGACGTTTTAGAGCTTGACATATTGCTAAGACACCTGTGACACCTGTTTATTGTTGAAGTCTATCTCTAGATGTGTTTTGGTTATATTTGTCATTGCATCTGATTATCATACCTGTATATAGATATATATATATGAAAATAATTGTAGGAATAAACTTTATTAATAAAATATAACATTTACCAATATAAAACATCATATGAAAATAATGAACTATGAGAAAAACGAAATGTTGAAATATATGAAACTTATAACATTCTATTAAAACTTGTCAAATAAAACTTAAAACTGTAAATATGTAATGAAGACTTAATAATGCTGCCTTACCAATTCTTCTGCATATATAAATGACAAAATGAGAAACAGTTGTACTATATCTTTCCTTACAAGTATACTAAGATTATCTTTGGAGAAAACTCAAACAGGTTTCTCTGAAAGAGGCTATATCGGATCTTTTTACCCTTATTAACGACTGATAAGGACCTACCATATGAAGGAATATTGAAAAAATTTTTAACAGAATACAATGAAAAAGGACCGCCTATAAAGTATTTAGTACTGCTTCACCTAAAAGTTTAGGGAACACCTCCTATAGGGGTTAATTGTCTATCCCCTCCTTGATAAATTAATTCTGGATAATGTTCAAATTGTAAGATCTGACCCTAACTACATTTTATTGCATCTTACAAAAATCAAACACATGAATGTATCAATAGTAAAATCTATGATGATGAATGTACAAAAATACACTAAAATATTTTAAATGCCATTTTCATCTTGTAAAATAAAGTAAAAAAATATATGGAATTAATTATTGCAAGATCATATTTCACAATATAAATATATCATTCATATTTTTCATCAAAGTCATAAAAATTTGTAATATGGATACACAAGTATCAAAATAAACACTACACATTCAAGTTTAATGTAAAGCAGTTTTGATAATAAACCATTCCATCAGAATATTTATCATGGTTTCTAAAATGCATTCTTACAATTTACAAAGAGCCATCATCCTGGATAATAACACTTGAAAAGTTTCAGGGAAGCAGATATTTTGCAAGTCATCCCAAAGGGTCCAATTTTTTTTTATAAAGCTATTTGGTCTTTACTAATTATGGGGTATCAAGAACCACTTTCATGTCTATCCACTGTACATACTACAATAATACATAGCACTTCGACACATATACTAGAATAATTCTTAATCAACGTCTTTAACTATAATAAAAACTTCTTTCACTATAACTTGAATATATCAAAGCAATCTATATACACATAATTACTGCTACTACAACTATATATTTAAAAAAGGCAATCAATAGTCTCAAGCATTCACAGTTACTACGTTATTATCCTTTACCAAGATAAATCTGGTGTAAATACCATTAGGCTGCTTCTATTTCATTTACTTCTTCTGTCTGGTTGGATTTACATTCCACAGACTCCTCAGCAACCTTATTTTTGGATTCTTCCTTTTGAAGTTTTGTGGAATCCTTTGTTTCGATACTTTCCTCCATAGTATTTCCTGTTTTCCTTGTGTCTACATTAGCTCCATCCTCCTTTTCAGCATCAGTTATCTCTACATTAGATTCAGTATCCATCAATTCAACTTTTTCCTTCAATTCATCATTTCTTTTCATTGTAGTTATCTTCTTGGATTCATCTTGTAATAATTCTTTAACATCAGATGCCTCCACACTTGAATCAGTTCTACTTTGATCACATTTTCCATTTGTTTCTTTATCAGTTGTCTTTAGCTCATTAGAATTATCTGATGTCTGTTCGGTCTTCTCCTCTTTTTCAGGTGCCTCTGGTTTTTCACCCTTCATCTCCTTCTGAATTTCATCTTTTCCATCTTGTGTTGTAATCTCATCGCTCTGAGAAGAAGACTGTGAACTACTGATCTGACTAGCTGTTTCATCAGAATCAAAACCAGAGTCGCTCTTTATTTCCTCTGTCAAACTTTGTCCATCACCCTGCAACAATAGAAGTTACAATTATCATACATGTACTATCAAAATTAATTTTGGTGGTGAACTATCCAAGACTTTGGAGATCTACACACCAAAGGAAATAATTAAGAAAATCAGTCTGCTGTATAGAAATTATTCCTGGACTTTATAAATTTAAAAATTGAAGTTTCACCTCTAGAAATAAAAAATCATGAAACTCAAACCTGCATAAATTTGAACCCCCTGATTATATACAACAGATTTTCTTGGTACTTATAATTAAATCTAATTTAACATCCAATAGCTGTTAAGGTGTACAAAAGATATATTTTCATTGAATTTCACATATTGTCATATATTATCTTGTATAAACTTTAATAATATAGAACCTGTAAGTGATATTAATTAATGTTCATTTTTGTAGGTTTTAAGCTGACATGTACCTTATTCAATTACAAACATTTCACACATATGTTTTATTTGTATTTTTCTTATGATAAAATTCATTTCTGTAACAAAATTATGTTCTTCATTTATTTCTTGCAAACTACCGTAATTTGATTTAAAAATATGAAGATGTGGTATGATTGCCAGTGAGAACTCGCCACCATAGACCAAATGATATAGAAATAAGCAACTATATCCAGGTCACCATACAGCCTTCAACAATGACCATTTGACATTGTTTACAATTTTGAACAATATATGAAGGAAAGTAAAATGAGCATAAATATTTCTACATTCATAGTATTTGTCACCTCGATAAAGGTCCATGGTGGTGGTGGTTGATCGGTGCATCTTCTTAAAGCAAACTTCCACACCAAAAACCCAGACTGACCAGTTGTTGACCAAAATTTCTCTACAGTGTATAAGCCTAAAAAAATAAAGAATAAACACATATTTTTATACATCTATACTATTCAGTCAAGGTAAACAAAATTTTTGAAGTGTTTCATTCTTTCAACAGAACAAAGCAATGGATAATTCAAACTTTGTTTGGGAGTGAATTCATGGATTGGTGAAAAGGAAATCCCTCAGACATGGTTTCTAACCAATACTCTTGCTTTTACAATATAATCTTGTCAATATTGATTCATATCATGTAGGCTGTTAACAATAAATGCATATGCAAGAAAGTATACGAAATAAATATACTAGTACACCAAGTTATAGTTTTGTTCTAGGTCACCATGGAGCTATAATTAGCACTTATAAAAAAACAAACCATCATATCTGTATCCATCCTCTGGAGCAAATTGACTGAACTGCTGTAGTTTATATCCTCTAATCACTCTGACAGGGTTTCCAGTTTCTACGTTACGACTTAATGCAAGATTCCCCCGGGTCAGCGTCTGATCTTTAGACTGTGGTGCTGTTCTCAAATTCTACAGAAATGTAAAATTTGTTAATACAAGTATTCACAACACTACACTGTTTTTATGATTGAAGTGATGGTGCTTATTTTCAATAGTATCAGTACACTTAATTACTATGACTTGACTATCTGTTTTTTCCACTACCCAATACCCTTACCTTTTGCTCAACCAGATTGTAAAATTAACAATACAATTGGGACCTTTGAATTGACAAGATGGTATAAGAGTTGATATATAAATGATCACTCATGCATTTTTAGAGTCTACCTTGATGCTATCCCATCACTTCACCTGTCCAATTGTTATTGTTGTAGTGTTACTGGGATAGTTGTTACAAAACTTATCAAACTGGCATACAGGCTTCAGTGTCTCTCTTGGTCAAGAAGAATTACCTGCATACAGTTTAAATTAGTATGGTATGACTATAGCAAGAGTATGGCCACAAGATACAAACTTATGCCAATCCAAATCTATTTCTTGTTTTTTTTTTTTTTCTGATTTTTTAAAAGTTTCATTTCCCCCTGTGTTTCGTTAGAGAGCCAAAACTATGAACGCTTGGACTTCTTTTATATTGTGGAAAATACCTCTTTTGTCTCTTGACTAATGGGAGATAACTCAAAATCTTTTTTGTTACTCATGTGGAAATATTAATATAAAAATAAGGAGATGAGGTATGATTTCCAATGAGACAATGATCCACCAAAGTTCAAATAAATTGGATGTAAGCAATTATAGGCAACCGTATGGCCTTAAAAGGTCCCGATATAAAAAATATGAAACAATTCAATTAAGAAAACTAACGGCTTAATTTATAACAAAACAAATAACGAAAAACAAATATGACAGACATGTACCAAGGACAACCACTGAACTACAGGCTCCTAACTTGGGACAGGCACATAAAGAATGAGGCTCAACCCTCCACTAACCATGGACAGTGGTGTAACAGCACAACATAAGAACAAACTATAAAAATCAGTTGAAAAAGGCTTAACTCATCAGATCGATACAAAGCAGAAAAACATCAAACATAAACACAGACCAGATGTGGCAGGGTATTTATCTATCCCTCATCCCTAACAACAAAAAGGACACTAAGTACAGATCTTAAGAGTATTCCATAATATTCCAGTATAAATAAATGTTTTATACATATCTGAACAAAAGTGTGCATTCACTCATTTAGACTATTGTTCAAAACCTATCGGCATGAGCCTTGTACAGAGGTTTATGCATTGTGAAATATCAAAATAAAAGTTATGAATGAAACCCTTTTTTCTTGAAGTTGTGTGTTACATTGTATATATTATATTTTTCTTTATTTCACTGGCACTTGTCTCTGAAAAATACTATATCATGATACCGTAACTATTTAATTAACGGTATATATGTATAATTGTTAAAGGATAAGTGTGTGTATAAAATTTTCACAATTGTCAGATTTTATTCAAAAAATTTAAGGCAATTAAATATGATAAAAAATAAGATATAACAAGCATTCTGAGAGTATTGCATGGCAATACATAGTCCCCTACCGGTTAAAAATTAATTGTACTGGAACAAAATGCTAACTTGATCTATAACTTGTCATGGTATAAACTATATAACAAATATCAAGTCAATATCTTCCGGCATGTTTCGTTTCTCTCTATCTTCTTTATTTTTTGCTCAAAACACAAAAGAGGGTAAAAAAAATCCTCATTTAAGGGCAATCACTCCTATGAAGAGTGACAGTCTACTAACTATATCAGCAAAATTTGACTTTTTAATAGATTTTGCCTTGCTGATGATTTTTGTGATTTAAAGTGTTTATTTATCTATTATAATTTAAATCATATAAGGCATAACAGAAAAAAAATGTTTCTCTCTAAATATCATAGTTTTCATGATAATAGGCAAAAATGAAAAAATGGTAAAATTTGTCATTTATGGGTAATAACTCCTATAAGAATTTGTCTAACAGTTTTGACGTATATGGACAATTGGTATAGCTCATTATTCTGAACATTTTTGCTCCTTTCAGTTTCAGATTTTCTCTATTTATAACGGTTCAAAAAATAATAGACAAAAGTTGCATTTTACCCCTATGTTCTATTTTTAGCCATGTCGTCCATGTTGGTTGGCAGGCGGGGTCATCGAACACATTTTTTTAACTAGATACCCTAATGATGATTGTGGACAAGTTTGGTTAAATTTGTCTCAATAGTTTCAGAGAAGATTTTTGTAAAAATTGACTATAAAGGGCAATAACTCCTTAAGGGGTCAATTGACCATTTTGGTCATGTCGAATTATTTACAGATCTTACTTTGCTGAACATTATTGCTGTATACAGTTTATCTCTATCTATAATAATATTCAAGATAATAACCAAAAACTGCAAAATTTCCTTAAAATTACCAATTCAGGGGCAGCAACCCAACTACGGGTTGTCTGATTTGTCTGAAAATTTTAGGGCTGATAGATCTTAACCTGATGAACATTTTTTCCTCTTGTCAGATTTGCTCTAAATGCTTTAGTTTAAGAGATATAAGCCAAAATCTGCATTTCATTCCTATGTTCTATTTTTAGCCATGTCTGCCATGTTGGTTGGCAGGCGGGGTCATCGGACACATTTTTTAAAATTAAATACCCTAATGATGATTGTGGCTAATTTTGGTTAAATTTGTCTCAGTAGTTTCAGAGGAGAAGATTTTTGTAAAAGATTACAAAAATTTAAGAAAAATTGTTAAAAATTGACTATAAAGGGCAATAACTCCTTAAGGGGTCAATTGACAATTTTGGTCATGTTGACTTATTTGTAGATCTTACTTTGCTGTACATTATTGCTGTTTACAGTTTATCTCTATCTATAATAATATTCAAGATAATAACCCAAAACTGCAAAATTTCCTTAACATTACCAATTCAGAAGCAGCAACCCAACAACTGGTTGTCTGATTCGTCTGAAAATTTCAGGGCAGATAGATCTTGACCTGATGACCAATTTTACCCCCATGTCGGATTTGCTCTAAATGCTTTGGTTTCAGAGATATAGGCCAAAATCTACATTTTACCCCTAGGTTCTATTTTAAGCCATGGTGGCCATCTTGGTTGGCAGGACAGGTCATCGGACACATTTTTGTCGAGCCTTCGACTTTTGTCGAAAAAGCGAGACATAGCGATTCTACATTCCGTCATCGGCGGCAGAGGCGGCATCCACAAATATTCACTCTGTGGTTAAAAGTTTTTGAAATTTTAATAACTTTCTTAAACTATCCTGGATTTCTACCAAACTTGGACAGAAGCTTGTTTATAATCATAAGATAGTATCCAGAAGTAAATTTAAAAAAAAAAAATCCTGTTTTTCTGTATTTTACTTATAAATGGACTTAGTTTTTCTGCCAGGAAACATTACATTCACTCTGTGGTTAAAGTTTTTGAAATTTTAATAACTTTCTTAAACTATCCTGGATTTCTACCAAACTTGGACAGAAGCTTGTTTATAATCATAAGATAGTATCCAGAAGTAAATTTAAAAAAAAAAATTCCTGTTTTTCCGTATTTTACTTATAAATGGACTTAGTTTTTCTGCCAGGAAACATTACATTCACTCTGTGGTTAAAGTTTTTAAAATTTTAATAACTTTTTCAAACTATCCTGGATTTGTACCAAACATGGACAGAAGTTTGGAACCCTTATGAATTTTTTAAACTAGATACCCGAATGATGATTGTGGCCAAGTTTGGTTAAATTTCGCCCTGTAGTTTCAGAGGAGAAGATTTTTGTAAAAGTTAACGACGGACGACGGACACCAAGTGATGAGAAAAGCTCACTTGGCCCTTTTAGGCCAGGTGAGCTCAAAAGATAGATCATAACATTCTGATCATTTTAAAGGATTTTCTGGTTTCAAGATATAAGAATATCTCTTGGACTGAAGCCTTATGTTCCAATTTAAGCAATGAGTGTCATGTAGGTTGATGGATTAAAATATAATTATCAAAATATAAAATAGACACCCTTATGATCAATCATGTGAACTGGTATTCCAGATGGTTCAGTCGTTTCCAAGGAGACCTTCACTAATAAACTGCTTTGCTGAGCGCAGCTGGATATGCCTGCAGAGGTCCAACCCTGAACAGTTGGGGCAAAAATGGACACAATATTCAAGCTTGATACAGGTCTGAATTTGGATTGTAATTAAATATTTGATATATTATAGGTTTCTGAATAAATGTAGTCAAAGAACTTGAAATTGGTTATATGAAAGATTTCTTGCTGTTGTGCAATACACTGTGCTGTTGCGCAATACTTATTAAATCTGTTGTCAGACTATAAACAAATAAAATCTTATAACTTGGAAACGTAAAATCGAAAATTTATAAAAATCAAAAGGGAGCTTACAAAAATAGATATAAACAATTTACCAAAGTTTCATAAAAAATGCTGAAAGCATTTTTGAGTTATTGTCCGAAAACTGGAAAATCCCCCTTTTTGTAATGAATAAAACCCCATAAATCGGAAACGTATTATCTGAAATTCATAAAAATCAAAAGGGAGCTCATGTCGATAGAAAGAAACAATTCACCAAAGTTTCTTGCAAATTGGAGAAATTGTTTTTGAGTTATTGTCTGAAAACTGGAAAATCCCCCCTTTTTTAATGAATAAAACCCCAAAACTCGGAAACGGTAAATCCGAAATTTATAAAAATCAAAAGGGAGCTTACAAAAATAGATATAAACAATTTACTAAAGTTTCATAAAAATGCTGAAAGCATTTTTGAGTTATTGTCCGAAAACTGGAAAATCCCCCCTTTTTTAATAAATAAAACCCCAAAACTTTAAAATGGTAAATCCGAAATTTATAAAAAACGAAAAGGAGCTCACGTCAATAGATATGAACAATTCACCAAAGTTTCATGCAAATTGGTGAAATTGTTTTTGAGTTATTGTCTGAAAACTGGAAAATCCCCCTTTTTTAATGAATAAAACCCCAAAACTCGGAAATGGTAAATCTTAAATTTATAAAAAACGAAAGGGAGCTCACGTCAATAGATATAAACAATTCACCAAAGTTTCATGCATATTGGTTAAAGGGTTTTTGAATTAATGTCCGACATGTTGACGACGGACGGACAGACGGTCAATGGTATACCATAATACGTCCCGTAAACAGGCGTATAAAAATTCACAGACAACTGAAAGAGAGCATCAAGACTTTCCTAGATAGGCAAAAAATAGAACTATGTAGAAGTGGTATTTATTACTGCAGAAGTTAGAATCATTTGCCCTTAACTGTGATCTTATAAATACTGTTGACGATATTTGTGCTGATTGACCCTTATCATGCATCATAATGTTAAACACAAAAACAGCAGGTAGAGCTGCGGCAAATTCCATGTTCTGCTATGCAAAGCCCAAAAATCATTTGGAACTGAAATAGGTGCACAATGAATGCCATTAGATATGACAGATTTTGAGAAAAATTATCTAGTAGCTGGATATTTACATTTATAATGTGCGGCATGAGGGACAAACAAACAAGCTGACACTACCCCCACTTAAAGGTAGCGGTATGACTTAATAAGACCTGAGTTTTCTAAGCATGGAGAGTTAAAGACCATATTTTACCTTTGGTTTGTTGGCTGTCCCTTTCAAATCTCTGCCTCCTGCAAAATATTACCTATATTAGGATTCTTACATGCCAACATGATCAATAATACCAGATAACTTTCCAAATTTTCTTCCATTTCCAAGCAACATTGTAGGAATATTTCTGCAATGGTTACCTGCAGAGGTCTTCTCTGCTTTTATGTTGCTGCTGTCTTACTGACCTACACCTTTTTTTAATAACAATAAAAACTAGAGGCTCTAAAGAGCCTGTGTCGCTCACCTTGGTCTATGTGCATATTAAACAATGAACACAGATGGATTCATGACAAAATTGTGTTTTGGTGATGGTGATGTGTTTGTAGATCTTACTTTACTGAACATTCTTGCTCCTTACTATTATCTCTATCTATAATGAACTTGGCCCAGTAGTTACAGTGGAAAATATTTTGTAAAAATTTACAAAAATTTACAAAATTTATGAAAATTGTAAAAAATTGACTATAAAGGGCAATAACTCCTTAAGGGGTCAATTGACAATTTTGGTCATGTTGATTTATTTGTAGATCTAACTTTGCTGTACATTATTGCTGTTTACAGTTTATCTCTATCTATAATAATATTCAAGATAATAACCAAAAGCTGCAAAATTTTCTTAAAATTACCAATTCAGGGGCAGCAACCCAACAACATGTTGCCTGATTGGTCTGAAAATTTCAGGGCAGATAGATCTTGACCTAATGAACAATTTTATACCATCAGATTTGCTCTAAATGCTTTGGTTTCAGAGATATGAGCCAAAAACTGCATTTTACCCTATGTATTATTTTTTTGCCATGTCGGCCATCTTGGTTTGCGGGCAGGGTCATCGGACACATTTTTTAAACTAGATACCCTAATGATGATTGTGGACAATTTTGGTTAAATTTGTCTTAGTAGTTTCAGAGGAGAAGATTTTTGTAAGATTACAATAAAATGCTTCGCTGGGTGCAGCTTGATACGACCGCAGAGGTCGAACCCTGAACAGTTGGGGCAAGTATGGACACAACATTCAAGCTTGATACAGCTCTGAATTTGGATTGTGATTAAATATTTGACACAGCATAGGTTTCTGACACAGAAAGACTGTGGTCTAAGAACTTCAATTTTTTTAATTTACCTATTATGGTCCAATGTCCAAAATCAAAATACATGGTTAGATTCAGCATATCAAAGAACCCCATATATTCAATTTTTGTTGAAATCAAACAAAGTTTAATTTTGGACCCCAACTTGGACAAACTTGAAAACTGGTCCCATAATAAAAAATCTAAACACATGTTTAGATTCAGCATATCAAAGTACCCCAAGAATTCAATTTTTGTTATAATCAAACTTAGTTTAATTTTGGACCCTTTGGACCTTAATATAGACCAATTTAAAAATGGGACCCAAAATTAAAAATCTAAAAACATGGTTAGATTTGGCATATCAAAGAACCCCATATATTCAATTTTTGATGAAATCAAACAAAGTTTAATTTTGGACCCTTTTGACCTCAATATGAACCAATTTGATAGCGGGGCCAACAAATAAAAAATCTAAATACATGGTAACATTCAGCATATCAAAGAACCCCATATATTCAATTTTTGCTGAAATCAAACAAAGTTTAATTTTGGACCCAAATTTGGACCAACTTGAAAACTGGGCCAAAAATCTAAAATCTAAATACATGTTTAAATTCAGCATATCAAAGAACCCCATATATTCAATTTTTGTTGAAATCAAACAAAGTTTAATTTTGAACCCCAACTTGGACCAACTTGAAAACTGGGCCCATTATCAAAAATCTAAACACATGTTTAGATTCAGCATATCAAAGAACCCCAAGAATTCAATTTATGTTAAAATCAAACTAAGTTTAATTTTGGACCCTTTTGACCTCAATGTGGACAAAGTTGATAACGGGGCCCAAAAATGAAAAATCTAAATACATGGTTAGATTCAGCATATCAAAGAACCCCATATATTCAATTTTTGTTGAAATCAAACAAAGTTTAATTTTGGACCCCAATTTCGACCAACTTGAAAACTGGGCCAAAAATCAAAAATCTAAATACATGTTTAAATTCAGCATATCAAAGAACCCCATATATTCAATTTTTTTGTAAAATCAAACAAAGTTTAATTTTGGACCCTTTGGACCTTAATGTAGACCAATTTGAAAACTGGACCCAAAATTAAAAATCTAAATACACGGTTAGATTCGGCATAAAAAATAAACAAATGTGGTCAAAGATTTTACAAATCTAATGCGCCATACTGTGCAATTAAAGATTACTTCTTGAAATTTTTCAATATTTGAAATTTGAAAAAAAAATAATATTTGAAGAATAATTCTTTTTAATTTCTGAAATCTGAAATGAGAAAAAATTGACCCCCACAATTTCTTTAAACCCCCCCCCCCCCCCTTTTTTCCCCCAAAAAATTCTTTCCCTCAAGATATGGTCATAATATCTCAATTCAAATTTCCAATGGAATTTGCAACCATAATTACCCATTTAAATTTACCATAGTGCTAACTTAATCTATTTTATAATAGAATTTAAAATATAGTGTCAAATCTTTCATATGGATTTTGTTGTAAAAAAAAAAGATGCAAAATTTGCAGATATTTTTACTGGTCTTCCTTTATAAATATGCATTTCTTTAAACATAATTTAAAAGCAGTGTAAGGGAAGTAACCAAAATGTTGTATTTGGATTACCTCCCTTACACTGTTTTAAATTATCTTAATTGTTCATTAACCATTACTTTATACATAATTTAAAAGCAGTGTAAGGGAGATAATTTCAATGATGTATTTGATTTATCTCCCTTACACTGCTTTAAATTATGTTTTGTACTAAAGTATTTGTCCATTAACCAGGACAACCTTGTTTTTCCCCCTTTTTTGCCCCTAATTCTTAAACAGTTTGAGCCATAACCCCCCAAAGCAAATCCTAACCATCCCTTTGTGGTATGGAAACTTGTAGTATAATTTCAGAGAGATCCATACACCGTTCCACAGTTATTGTCTGGAAACTAGAAAATGCTTATTTTTGGCCCCTAATTCCTTAACTGTTGGTACCATAACCCCCAAAATCAATCCCCACCTTCCTTTTGTGGTATTGAACCTTATGGTAAAATTTCATAGAGATCCATTCACTTAAACTAAAGTTAGAGTGCGAAAACTAATGCGTCTTCGGACGACGACGCTGGACGACGACGACAACGCCGCCAACGTCATACCAATATACGACCACAAAAATATTTTTGCGGTCGTATAAAAATTTACGAAAAATGGTTAAAAATTGACTATAAAGGGCAATAACTCCTTAAGGGGTCAACTGACCATTTTGGTCAAGTTGACTTATTTGTAGATCATACTTTGCTGAACATTATTGCTGTTTACAGTTTATCTATAATAATATTCAAGATAATAACCAAAAACGGCAAAATTTCCTTAAAATTACCAATTCAGGGGCAGCAACCCAACAACGGGTTGTCCGATTCATCTGAAAATTTCAGGGCAGATAGATCTTGACCTGATAAACAATTTTACCCCATGTCAGATTTGCTCTAAATGCTTTGGTTTCAGAGATATAAGCCAAAATCTACATTTTACCCCTATGTTCTATTTTTAGCCATGGCGGCCATCTTGGTTGGTTGGCGGGGTCATTGGACACATTTTTCAAACTAGATACCCCAATGGTGATTGTGGCCAAGTTTGGTCAAATTTGGCCCAGTAGTTTCAGAGGAGAAGATTTTTGTAAAAGTTTACGGACGACGGACGCAAAGTGATGAGAAAAGCTCACTTGACCTTTCAGGTCAGGTGAGCTAATAATTACTGATTTCTAACTTGTTTATGGCATTCTGGATGGTGTCTGTAACCATTCATTTAAGTAACAGTCATTGTCCATTATTTCAATCAGTATTGTTTTCCATTTTATCTCTGAAATTGGCCTTTAGAATCTTTTATATAGCTGGTTATTTTGTCCGTTACCTCTGTCCCCTCTTGTTCTTTATGGTAACTTACACATGTAACATTTATTTTGCAAGCTAGCTAGATGTATAGTCAGCTTAGACCCTCAGACCTTATACAATTAAGCATATTTTACAGTGTAAAATGGACAAATAAAAGTGTGTTAAAATTGAGGGCATAAAAGTAACCTATCAAAAAACTTAACAGGGGAAAAAAGTGAATAATCTTTATACTTCCTTTAATTTCAATTACTGTAAATTCAGAAATTATTGCGAGGTTTTTATTATTGCGACAAATGCGACAGAGTTGTAAACGCAATAATTTAAATTCGCATTTTGAAATATTTTATATGAACTAAACAGGATTTTTTCTCAAAATCGTAAAAATTAAAATCGCATTTAAGTCTAAAATGACAAAATCGCAATATTAAATGCACGCAATAATTTCTGAATTTACAGTATTCAACATTAGTCAACTGTAAATAATGTTTTTGGTTTCTATATATATGTGTAACATGATTTCATGCTGCCATGTTGTTTATATATTGCTTACAAAAGTAGGCAATTGAAAACATGGTCTATCAAAAAATGAACTGCCCAAAATAATCCTATTAGAAGCAGTTCATATTTAGGCCTTAATTATTTAAATCATTTAAGAATTTTACTTTTATAGTAAAGACAGAAAATAACAGAAATGTAATTACCTTCTCCTGTGTACGTAAAACAATCTCCCAAGTCAATATTGTCTTCATATCCACCAGAGAGGGCAATAGAATATGATCCATCTTGTCCAGCATGGATTCCTGCTACTGTAGGCCTACAAATCACAAAAATTTATCTATGATAATTATCAGGGGCAAAAACAAGGACTAATATGGATTCCTGCTACTGCAGGCCTATAAATTACAAAAATTTATCTATGATAATTATCAGGGGCAAAAACAAGGACCAATATAGATTCCTGCTACTGTAGGCCTATAAATCACACTAATTTATCTATGATAATTATCAGGGGCAAAAACAAGGACCAATATAGATTCCTGCTACTGTAGGCCTATAAATCACACAAATTTATCTATGATAATTATCTGGGGGAATAACAAGGATGGCTTTACCAATACAAACTTAACTTCTACGTCATGTGGTCTCTGGTGGATAGTTGTCATATTGGCAATCATACCACATCTTCTTATTTTTATACAACGTACTGATTTCATTGTGTGCTTTACCTGTTCTGGATGTTACCATAATTCGAGATTGGAATAGATAATTTAAAACAAAATTATGTCATTTCAAAATCTTTTCTTTGAAATTGGAGGTTGATGGACTCCATGAAGATTTATCAACATTTGAGCCAAAATTAAAAACAGGTTTGTTTGCCCTAGCCTGACTGACCTGATTGCAGATGATTGGGAATTTTCTTTTATCTCTATTCACCTAAATCTTAATTTCATTCTGGATTAAGCGGAAATAATTTGACCATTCTAAAAGGTTTTCTACAATATTTTGCAGTCAGGAAGTTAAATGGTGTCAGTCAGTCAGTATGTTGATACATATATCACACATGTAGACCTAACAACTCAAGCTGGGAACCTTATTTTGCTTGAAAATCAAGAAATGTATTGAGCACTAAAACCTAATTGTGGTCCTTGTATTGAAAATCGGTTAGGGGTTTCACTTTAGCCCTACACTTCAATATTTTTACTGCTAACAAAAAAAAACAATTTTCATATGATTTTTTTTCCTTGAGCATTATTAATGAGAATAACCAATACCTGTGAATGCCATCTCGACAACATTCCATTCTGGTGGCCCAGACTGTTCCGACTTCCACACCTAAAATGCAAAGAAAACAACAGGTTAATTTAACTTTGTAGATGTTAAAATATACTGTCTGAAAAAAAAACAATGGCCACTTGCCTGATTAAGAGAAATTTCAATTTCAAGTATCAATGTAATATGAGTGTACCTTTTGCTATGTGTTACCATATTTCTCAATTAACCACTATCTTTGACAAACAGTACAAAAACTTGACTTTAAGTTGACTTCTAAATGTCAACTGTTTTTTGCATAGTTTGTTTGCTCTCTCAAGACTTTTATTTAGGAGTATTAAATTATGGATTGATATTTAAGTTATATCTGTTTCCTGTCAAGTTTGGTTCAAATAGGCCTTTTGATTGAAGAGAAGTTGATGAAAATGTAAATAGGTAAAAGATGACGGGCAACAGAGTGCAGAGTGCTAACTAGCTCCCAAAAAGAATGCAAGCAAACTAACTATGTGTTGCATCTCTAGTATGTAAATGCCGAGTATTAAAAAACTAGAGGCTCTAAAGAGCCTGTGTCGCTCACCTTGGTCTATGTGCATATTAAACAAAGGACACAGATGGATTCATGACAAAATTGTGTTTTGGTGATGGTGATGTGTTTGTAGATCTTACTTTACTGAACATTCTTGCTCCTTACTATTATCTCTATCTATAATGAACTTGGCCCGGTAGATACAGTGGAAAATACTTTGTAAAAATTTACAAAAATTTACAAAATTTATGAAAATTGTAAAAAATTGACTATAAAGGGCAATAACTCCTTAAGGGGTCAATTGACAATTTTGGTCATGTTGCCTTATTTGTAGATCTAACTTTGCTGTACATTATTGCTGTTTACAGTTTATCTCTATCTATAATAATATTCAAGATAATAACCAAAAGCTGCAAAATTTTCTTAAAATTACCAATTCAGGGGCAGCAACCCAACAATGTGTTGCCTGATTGGTCTGAAAATTTCAGGGCAGATAGATCTTGACCTAATGAACAATTTTACCCCCATGTCAGATTTGCTCTAAATGCTTTGGTTTCAGAGATATGAGCCAAAAACTGCATTTTACCCTATGTACTATTTTTTAGCCATGTCGGCCATCTTGGTTCGTGGGCGGGGTCATAGGACACATTTTTTAAACTAGATACCCTAATGATGATTGTGGACAAGTTTGGTTAAATTTGTCTTAGTAGTTCCAGAGGAGAAGATTTTTGTAAAAAATTACAAAAATTTACGAAAAATGGTTAAAAATTGACTATAAAGGGCAATAACTCCTTAAGGGGTCAACTGACAATTTTGGTCAAGTTGACTTATTTGTAGATCTTACTTTGCTGAACATTATTGCTGTTTACAGTTTATCTCTATCTATAATAATATTCAAGATAATAACCAAAAACGGCAAAATTTCCTTAAAATTACCAATTCAGGGGCAGCAACCCAACAACGGGTTGCCTGATTGGTAAGAAAATTTCAGGGCAGATAGATCTTGACCTAATGAACAATTTTATACTCATCAGATTTGCTCTAAATGCTTTGGTTTCAGAGATATGAGCCAAAAACTGCATTTTACCCTATGTACTATTTTTTAGCCATGTCGGCCATCTTGGTTCACGGGCGGGGTCATCGGACACATTTTTTAAACAAGATACCCTAATGATGATTGTGGACAAGTTTGGTTAAATTTGTCTTAGTAGTTTCAGAGGAGAAGATTTTTGTAAAAGATTACAAAAATTTACGAAAAATGGTTAAAAATTGACTATAAAGGGCAATAACTCCTTAAGGGGTCAACTGACCATTTTGGTCAAGTTGACTTATTTGTAGATCTTACTTTGCTGAACATTATTGCTGTTTACAGTTTATCTCTATCTATAATAATATTCAAGATAATAACATAAAACTGCAAAATTTCCTTAAAATTACCAATTCAGGGGCAGCAACCCAACAACGGGTTGCCTGATTGGTAAGAAAATTTTAGGGCAGATAGATCTTGACCTAATGAACAATTTTATACTCATCAGATTTGCTCTTAATGCTTTGGTTTCAGAGATATGAGCCAAAAACTGCATTTTACCCTATGTACTATTTTTTAGCCATGTCGACCATCTTGGTTCACGGGCGGGGTCATCGGACACATTTTTTAAACAAAATACCCTAATGATGATTGTGGACAAGTTTGGTTAAATTTTTCTTAGTAGTTTCAGAGGAGAAGATTTTTGTAAAAGATTACAAAAATTTACGAAAAATGGTTAAAAATTGACTATAAAGGGCAATAACTCCTTAAGGGGTCAACTGACCATTTTGGTCAAGTTGACTTATTTGTAGATCTTACTTTGCTGAACATTATTGCTGTTTACAGTTTATCTCTATCTATAATAATATTCAAGATGATAACCAAAAACGGCAAAATTTCCTTAAAATTCCCAATTCAGGGGCAGCAACCCAACAACAGATTGTCCGATACATCTGAAAATTTCAGGGCAGATAGATCTTGACCTAATAAACAATTTTATCCCATGTCAGATTTGCTCTAAATGCTTTGGTTTCAGAGATATAAGCCAAAATCTACATTTTACCCCTATGTTCTATTTTTAGCCATGGCGGCCATCTTGGTTGGTTGGCCGGGTCACTGGACACATTTTTTAAACTAGATACCCCAATGATGATTTGGCCAAGTTTGGTCAAATTTGGCCCAGTAGTTTCAGAGGAGAAGATTTTTGTAAAAGTTTACGGACGATGGACGACGGACGACGGACGCAAAGTGATGAGAAAAGCTCACTTGACCTTTCAGGTCAGGTGAGCTAAAAAAGGTATCTGCTATTTTATTTACAACTGAGAGAGTCCCAAAATGGAGTAAGTCCCTTTATAAATCCCAATTCAACCACGAGATCTAGTTGTAAATGGTAAAATTTCAAATAAACTGAGGCAGCCATAATTTAAAAAAAAAATTCTAACATCTATCAGATTAGCCCCAAATCCCACTCTCCATTTCATTCAAATAAAATTATTAATACACTTAACATTATTGACTCTTTTGTGTAGTAAATACATGAATCAGTTTTCTGCATAAAAAAATAACATTGAAGGAACAGAGAACATTTAAACTTTGCAAAACCAGATGATGCCACAAATTAAGATGCTTTGACTATTTACTGTAGTTGCAGATTAAAATGCGACAGAAATGTCTAACAATCAGACGAACAAATGGACAACGGTAAACAGGTATATCTCCTCCTTAGAAACTTGGGTAAAATGTTTTATAAATTACCTGGAACTGCTCCATAGAAATTTGGTCTATTAGGTGCAACTTTGGCCGGTGCATCATTTTCATCAATCCATTGGTCTACTTCTTCCTTAAGTTCTGTTTCTGTTGGCACTTCCTGTAATGTAAGCCAAAATACAAAATACTAGTCTGTTTGTTTGTAAATTCACCATTTTATATGCATCTCAACATTTTATTTTATACTTTTAAAACTAATAAAATTCATTAATTCTATTTAGAACAGATACTATTTTCATGCACAATTTATGTAACTTTTTATTGTTTGTTATAAACATACACACCATTTTGTAACTTAAATATGTGGGTATATATATCATTGATATTTTGTTTTTAATGTTCATGGATAGGATGTTTAGAACAGGGCTTCCAAAATTATTTTTAGCCAGCCGGACATTTTATATATTATCCTGATTTTAATCCCTTAAGACTAAATAAACAAAAGGCAATTATGGTAATCAGTTGCCGAGTTGGCCATTCTAATGATTGACATTAAAAAAAAAACAATATTAAACTTTCTTTGATTCAAATTCTAAGTTCTGACGTAAACTGTTAAATTGGCAGTGCATCATTCGAAGTGTGCAACATCAGCGTACTTATATCTAACTTAGACTCTTTATTTGTGGCAAAATAACATTGTCAAAAACTTTACTTTCATTTTTAAATCTAATACCGGATGTTATCTTGACAATGGTAAAACATGGACCAGAGACGGATACGTAAATTCCGTGTACGTTTGCAAAGCATGAATGAGTGTAAGTAAATGTAAGTAGCTCTTTCTACGTTATTTCTCCAAGAAAATATTTGAAATAAACGTGAGATAAAGGTATCAATGACAATTTAAGCATTTTTTGAAGAAATTAGGATGCATAATTAAATTTTACACCTGCACACATGCGCACACGTGTACTAGTTCATACAGAGACATGTCTCTGTTTAAACAACGTGGTTATGACGATTTTTCATTTTCACCTTTTTTAATTTTTTCATCAAATCATATGTGTAAACGTATTTCTGATAATTTAAATCTTTTTGACTAAATTAATTAGATACAAACCGCTGAAATGTAAGAAAATAACTTTGAATAGACTGATCAATGTCAGGTTCAAAATAGTTTACCTGTCACCTGAACAGGTAAATTTCAGCTGTTCGACAACTAATTAGCCTTGATTAAAATGAGAAGGTATTAAAAGTAGGGGTTGTTTTGATAGTACTTAATGATCATGTCACTTTTATGACCGGAAATGTGTGGCTGTTGAAGGCAAAAGGTTGGGTCAAAAAGATAGTGAATTATGTTAAAATGACCGTCTCTTAAGAAAGCCTTGAAAACTAAAAAGAAGATGACCATTTCATGCTTTGCCCAGCCGGACTTTTATCGGACATTATACAAATGTCCGGAATATATGACCGTTTTGGAAGCCTTGGTTTCGAATGTTGTGCTCAATGCACATTATGTTTTTTTTTATTATCTCAAAAGTAGTGATTAAGTCTGGAAAATTGATAACTATCAAGCCAGTCCCATAAGGGTTTTGATTGTATGAAGGCAATGTTTACCCCAAAACATACCATCTGTTACTAACATATAACATTTATACATGTTTAATGGATCTTATAGTCTACATAAAGATGACAGTGACAACTTCTTTATTTGAAACAATCTGCAGTATTAAGGTAATGAAAGAAGCAATATATCACAATATGGTTTCAAAACAAGCCAAATAGTTCAACGATGAATAAAATTAAATTACAAAAGAAAGAGTCTAAATTGCATAATATAAGGTCCTTAAAAATGTATGTCTATCATTCCAATTAGACATTAGAATGGCTTGTGTGGAAATTTCCTACCTTTCCCTTTACACGAGCTGAACGTCTACGACTTCCCCTTATAGATCCAGAATTATCTGGATCTAATTCAACATGCTTTTTTGCTGGTCGACTAGAAGTGCTGTCTTCTGCTTTTCTCTTGTTACCACGAATACTTTTCTTGAAGCTGACTTTTGGCAAGGATTTGTACTGAAATAGAAGAGTCAACTTGATCAAGATTTTTCACTTTAACTGGAAAATACAACAAGGAGTTGAGAATCAGATAAATAGACATATATACATTTACCATGTCTACATAAAGATAAACATCTGAAAGCCTTTAGTTCTGCATTTTTTTTAAAATAGAACGTATACAATCCCTTGGCTTTAAAACTATAAATATCTTACATTTTTTATCCTTCTAAGGATTTGATAAGGTTTCTGAACTTCTAAATGGGATTTTGTGACGCTACATTATTGTCTATAACCACAGGCACTTGTTTCAGAAAATTTTTTTCCTATATACCTTAATATAACACAAGGTACTTAACTCGCATTTTTGAAAAATGTCACCCGGTCGCGAAATTATGTTATATTTCGATTTCTCGGTTGTCAACTCCACTAAAACTTGTTATGCCATAAATTTAAATTGATTTATCTACACAATGGTGTATAACACGCCTACCTTTGTTGTCTTGATTCATTCGTAGCAGGCCTACCTAAATATGTCAACCGTAATTATTTCGTCTACCAACACTTGATTGGAAATATAAGACTAATAAGCAGTAAAAGGTATCTTTCCATGCTCTTTATATATCTTGGTTTCCGATTGGTCAAATTTTATGGGAAGGTCTATTGCTAAAAATAAATGTTTCTCCGAGTTATCTGATCTTATCTCATTTCATATGTAAAGTCCAGAGAGAGAGTCTGAATGACATTGATGGAATTGGAAAATTTGAGTCTAAAAATAGAAACTCGTAACTCATTAGACATACCTCAAATAACACTTGTTAGATTTTTTTTCACAGAATCATTTACAAATTTACTATCTGGATGATAAGTTCTATTCAGACAAAAACTATTAGTTTTTTTATAAATACTTTTTCTAATTATTCATTTACTGCAAGTCTTATATTTCCAATCGTGTGTTGGTAGACGAAATAATTACGGTTGACATACTTGGGTAGGCCTGCTATGCATGAATCCGACAACAAAGGGAGGCGTGTTATACACCATTGGGTAGATAAATCAATTTATATTCACGGCATAACAAGTTTTAGTGGAGTTGACAACTGAGAAATCGACATATAACGGAATTTCGCGACCGGGTGACATTTTACAAAAATGCGAGTTAAGTACCTTTAATTGTGTTATATTAAGATATATATGAAATTTTTTTTAGGAGACAAGTGCCTGTGCCTATAACATGGCTCAGTTTCAGATTCCATTAGTGCAGATGTCCAAATGTTTACTTATCACGCATTTTCAATACGGGGGTGCATTAGCGATATTTTAGTATCGAAAATTTGATGGAAAGCAAACCCAACAATCCATGCTGATTTTGTTTCCTTGATATGTTGTCTTGCTCGATATAAGAGCATTTGAACAAATAACAAAGGGTTTTCGATTCACGATTCGCCAACTACAGGCTAAAATATTGTCCTAAAACTAGTTTAAAATGTTCGTTACGCTGAAGGTACTCCAATAGATATACAAGTGTTTTCACTTTACAGATATCCTCGTTTGAATGATGGGTTTGATCGTTTAACATGTGCTGTAAATGACTTTCCCGTTTCAACAATTACTTACTGCTGTACTATTTCACTCTTTTTCTCACTAAATCAAAAATGCATATCTTTTGACAGAGTAAAACTCCTGACAAAACTATTGAAAGGGTTGTGTTTAATTCCGGAATATGTCAATAATATGGACATTTTGTGTTGACAAAGTTATATACATCCTGCAAATTGTCATGGTATACAAAATATGAAAGTTAATCAGTTCTTAAAGTCGGTATTTTGTAAAAACCATATATTTACCGCAGGCTTATGAAAGTAACGAACATTTTCTAAAAATGGTTAAAAAATAGAATAACATTTTTTTTGTATTCTGAAAGAGAAAGTGTTGGGAAATGGTGGGAAAAAAGATGACAAAGTGCAACATTATAATATGAACTTGATATATATCTCAAATTAAGGACTTCCCGATGTTTCAACCGAAACAAAATGTACGTTACTGTAATGACAACATACAGAAACGCATTTTCTTGTAAATTTCAGAATGAAATATAGCTACTAAAAGTTAAAATTTACTTTCCAGTTGATAGTGATGAGAGTATATTATAGACAATTCAATGAAACAACATGTAAACTTTAATAAACTTAAACAAGTAACGAACATTTCAAAATTTCATTATCTTCTGCTCACGTCAATTGTTATTACTGTAAAGTTCCTCAATTTTTGCTACATCATCAGGGTTTACTTTAAGCATTCTTTTCGATTTCCCGGAGGCTTGTGGATTTGAAATCTTGCACAAAATGTCCTTACGGTCAACCCAAATAACATCGGACCTACTTGGCCACTGATACATTGCTTTCTTCTTTTCTAGAAAAGAGATTTCAATGGTGTTATCTTCAATATCGATTGTTTTTATTTGACCGATGTACCATTTATTTAAGTAGATAGCAGCCACATAATCTGCACTGCTATATTCCACGTCTGGATAAGTTTCCCTGGCTTCATCTGCAGCCTCTGCTGTTTTGTCCGTTTGAGTTCCTGTCTTCAAAACTCTTTCCAGCTGCCAATTTTCACATGTAAATTCATCTGACAAACAGGTTACGCAATAACAACTTGTATTACGAACAGCAAGGCCGCAATTAAAAATATCTTTGTTTTCCCTTACCCTACCCACCATTTTGGAAGTGGGTAGGTAGGTAGGCTTTTATTTTTTTTTTAGAGAAAATCCCTGAAATATATCTAACACACAGGAAAACACAGAAAAAAAACAAATTGAACTTTATTGATACTAAAACAACATACTGTATAATGTATTATCATGATTATGCATGACTAGAAGACCCTACAATTTCAGACTAGAAAATGTTTGTAAATATCAATGTCTTTGTGACTTAGAGTAGACCACATATAAATTGAGACACGGTTCTATATTTTTCTTATAGTTTTATTAATTCAATTGAAAATATAAAACCCCAACGAGACTGCTACCTAGAAACATTCGATGCAAAAAATATGTACACTTGTTTTTCATTTAAGGAAATACTAGAAGCCACAAACCGTGATCCAAGCGAGTATGACTACGCCTATTAAGGCTTATTCTAGAAAACTATGAATTTATTTTTAACAATAAACTTTACCATGAAACCTTGGGCGTGCCTATGTGCGGATCAGCATTCGCTGAGTTAGTAGGCCTTAAAATGTTTGTTAATTCTTGAACACATTTTACAACGCTTTCAACACAGAGAAACAAAATGATAATGATAGTTGAAGTTCACTTACGAATTTTCCTGTAATGAAATAATATTCTTAGACACTGTCATAATTATACAAAGGAGAAAGATTCTTTAACGAAGGCATAGTATGATACAAGACATTAAAACCAATATCAAACCAACTGAAACATATCAATATCTGCACAGACACTGCTCACACCCAAAAAGTGTTTTCATTGAAAGGATTTATCAAGGGTGAAGTATTGAGGTATCTCAGAAACACAAGCAGCAAAACTGATCTTAAAAAAACAGTAAGAAGCTCAAACGAGGATATCAAATATCTGAAATCAACGATTTTTTTTATCAAACACAAAATACAGAAAGGGAAAAATTGCTAACACATTGCCCAGCGGAACGGGAGCAACCGCTAGTAGTGTTAACAAAATTCAACCCATCTATACAGAAACTAAAAATATAATAATGAAACACTGGCATCTTATTTCACAAAACCCTGAACATGTGACCATATTTAATCATCAGCCCATTATAGCTTATAAAAGACATAAGAACTTACAAGAACTTTTATCAAAGCATTAGCTGGTATAGTCATCTCGACTTTTCACAACACAATATGATACTGAGCTCGAAAAAAATCAACTACTATTTTATCCAAAGACAACTAGTGTATGGTCCAATATCACATACGAAATGAAACAAAATAGCATAAATAGCACGCCAATATACAACTTATTGAGTCGCCCACTGATAAAGACGAACTCAGGGATTTACCACAAACATGGCAGAATTTCAGAAACACTGGGCCTAACATTTTAGCTCAAAGGGTGAGCTCGGATGTGCAATCGTAACTTCTCGGCCATTCTCGATACGCATTTTGTTATTGGAGGCGTAGCTAGAATGGAAGAGTAGTTAAGATTGCTCGGATGCATTTATTAAAAACATTATTCCATTCCAATTTCAGTATCCTTGCATACGTAGTTTACCCTTTGCTGCAAACACACAGGCGACAATGATTTCGCGGAATGTTGAAAATACAGACCATTCAAGGAAACGAATTTAAAAAACGAACTTTTGAGCGAAACGAAAAAAAAAAACAACAACGTGATTTTCAGTCGGCGGATTTTTAGTGGGTCGGTCGGGTAAGGGGAAACAAACTTAATTTTAATTTTGGCCCAACTACAGCATTGCCTTTTTCTGCTACAGCGTGTAATTTCATTGTACCTGGTATTGAACGGAGCTTTTGTTCGGAAATAAGTTTGGTTTTATTTTCACATCGGTCTTTAGGCAAGAAGATTAACTTGATGCTCTTTAAACTACACGATTGTGATTGTGTCCATGCGTAGAAATCATGTGGGTCTTGTATTGCGACTTTCCCCGTACGCACCGCTTCGTCTGCCATTCGTTTACTAGTGCCTCCAATCCCATCGCATGGGCCTTTCCCATGACCGGCCTCCCAATAGTTCCACTTGGCCTTCATGCCGTAATCGAGACTGTGATTCGCAATAGCATTGAATATTGCTTTATTGCGATATTGAGATGTCGGACTATCCGTCCAGTAATGGATACATTCTACAGTTGGAAGAAGCTGTTTTATTTCTGGTATAATTTGGTCGATGATGGATAGTACGGTTGCTGAATTGTGACCCATCTCGTCTGAGATAACTACTATACTTTTGTGGAGCAGCTCATCCCCGTCAACCTTGTAGTAAACTACAACTGGATGTATTGTCACGCTAGTCTGATTCCAATAGGCAGACTGGATCTCTTCCACGGATTTGCACTGATAGTTTTCGGCAAAGTCCATATGTACAATGCAATGATTTTTTGGTAGATTTATCTTCAATTCTTTCATTTGTGCATATTGTGTTTGTATTCTTGTTACATGATCTTTAAATTCGTTCATCTGTTTTTCGACATGAGCTATAAATCCACTTTTATCAACTGTGCTGTCTACAACTTTCATTGTCATTTTTGTTCTGCCCTTTTCTTCTACTTTAACTCTTTTCCACTGACTAAATACCACATCACTGGCCTCTGTATTTGTCATGTCTTGTATAATTTCTTGTTGCTTTTCAACTTCTTTTTCTGCATTCAAAGAAACGTCTATACCTAATCGTTTTACAGCTTTTAATGTAAATGACATGTTTTGGTGTTTGGTACATAAACATGTGTCCCTTCTTATGAATGATGTCAGAAGAATATTCTTTGGACGAAGTCGTGTAAAGGTGGTAAATGACAGCTTCACTGTGGGATACTCCATCATAAATTTATGGTACAAGTTTGAAAGGTAGTCTGTCAAGATTCTTTTCTGAACTTTCTTATCATCTGTTTTAACATAGTCTGCCTTTCCTGGCACAACTCTAGAGTTCTCATCCCTCTCTAGAAATCTTGTTACATTGTATCTATGCTTTCCCATCTCTCGGATTCGGTATAACCTTTTGATATTGATGTCTTTAGTTGCTACTTTTGCTAGTTTATTTCTACTGAGTCCTGTTCTTTGTGCTAGTGTCTAGTAGCTAGTCATCCTGTACTTTTTCATGGTTTTGCCGGAGACAATGTTTCGTACTATCCTAGTTCTCATTCTTGCCTGAGTCGATGTTCCCTCTCCTGCTGATCTAATTTCATTACAAATTGTATTAGCGAAAAGTAGTTCTTTTCTGACACTGCTTCTCTGTTCAGCTGATAAGTTCATTTCATCGAGTTGCTGTTCAGTTTTGGATCTTGGTGTACTTGTGTTTTTGTCAACTTTTTTTCGTTTCACTCGTTGCAAAGAGCGCGCAGTTGTTCTGTACTTCCTCTTTAAATTTTCATGCTTGGCTTGTAGACTTTTCATTTCGGCCTTTATTTTAGTTAATTCTTTGCTTATTCTCATTTTCGGACCATTGGCTTTCTTCTGGAATCTCATTTGGACCAGTAGTCGGTTTTTAGTAGGAATGACAGACGATGTTCCACTTTCATATCCACTTGTGGAGGGTTCAATCTGCTGGTTATTGGCATGGATTAATTCTAATACCTCTTTTTTTCTTGCTCTATAAGGTTTTAGGTAATCTCTGTTATATTCGTTTCTTTGTCTCCTCTTTCTTCGAGATAATTGACTACTAGGTACATAATTTTGTTTCCGTCTCTCCCTTTCCTTTTGAAGATAAGCTTCATTGTTTTTTTCTTTCAGGCACTGTCTGTATTCTCTCTGAATCTGGGCCCTCGATTTGACCATTTCTGTAAATGAAAGATAACTGTATTTAGATACGGGTACAATGATATATCGAAAGCTTCCACGGAAAGTCGTTGAAGTCTTAATAAATATTTTTTTTAATAAGCATTTATTTTTGGATACAAAATTTTATAAGAGATAAGCTAAAAATTATTTTGAAATGTTCGTTACTAGAGTAGAAATGTACGTTACCACTACATACGTGGGAATTCTACATTTTGAATGCAAAAACTAAAACGTGACGAAAGGAAATGTAGTACTGTCATCACATTAGTAATTTCTTCAAGAAATTGCATTCAAGTTGCAAGCATTTTTTGGAAGCAGGTAAGTTTTCATAGACGTGAGAATTCGCAATATAAATACATTAGCAAAATGTCTGTTTCTCTAGGATTCGACTTTTTATTAATGTGTAATGTGCTTGTATTTATTCAACTGACATACAATTATGAAATGGAAAGTGATAAATAGACATAGTGGTAGTCCTAAGACAACGTTAAAGAACTATTTCAATGTGTATACATTGTAAAAAGTTCATTACTCTATATAACGAACATTTCACAACTACAATGTCATTTATTAACACATTTTAAGACATCCATGTCAATTACGATGTATGACCATATTGTTTAGGTTGTTATGTAAACAAGTGATATAATATTTAATAGTTGTGTATTCCATTATAAGAAATGCGTGATAATGTAAAATGTAAACGTACCTTATAAATGTGGATCCTTCTCCTGTCAAAAGTTTATAAATGAATGAAACTTTTGTCGTTTTAAATATATGGCGGCAGTCAACTCATCCAGCATCACATACTTTTATGTAAAGCTATCACGTTTATGAGTCTGTTTCATATCCTAGGTAACGAATTTTTCAGTAACGTACATTTCAAGTATACTGAAGACCTTCAATTTAAGAAACCATTAGAGTTTCTCGAATCGAAACGTTGTATTTTTCTAGGAAGGATAACATAAAGAATTACCCAGTGCTGATAGGAATATACTGAGTTTTAACTGAGAAAAGTTTTTAGCAGTAACGAACATGTCATAACTAAGTTAATTACATCCAATATCGTCCCTTCCGACATTTCCAGAATCCGTAAACTACAATACAGAGAACTATGTCTGCCTTGACTTGAGTAACTTTATCAACAATGTTTTATAACCCTGTTTCAGCTCAAGTTTGATCATGTATATATAATGCTCCATTTTGTGAATCCTTTTACAAATTTAAGAAATATATACAAACCAAGCTATCAATATTGTTTATTAGCTGTTGGAAAAAACAAATAGATAAATTTTCAGACAGTAAACTGAAAACCTACCTTTTATATAAAACAAATTTTGGTTTTGAAAAATATCTAACATTGATCAAGAATTTTGAACTTAGAAGAAGTTTTACTAAATTACGTGTATCTTCTCATAGATTACAAATAGAATTAGGTAGATATCAGGGTATTCCCCGAATTAACAGAATATGTAATAAATGTTCTTCCAATACTGTCGAAGATGAGGCTCATTTTCTATTTGATTGTAACAAATTTGAGGATGATAGAAATTGTATGTTAGCTAGTATTGCACAATATAATTCTTATTTTAATCATATGAACAGTCAAAGCAAAATTATCTGTTTATTTAGTGTAGAAAATGTTGAGTTACTTAAAATAATATGTAATTTTATATACAAACATCTTCCTTAGTGAAGATTAGTTAAAGGAAATCTATGTGTGTATATACATTTGATTGGACATAGAAAATTATATTCATCTGAATATCACAAACATACTAGCCGATTAAAAAAAAAAATAATTGTTAAGATATATTATTTATTCAAATGTTCTCTTATATCCTTGAGGCATCGTCCCCTGGTATCAACTGCATTCAAGTTACCTATGATGCTTCCTTGTTTGCTTTTGATACAGGTAGGAAAGAGACATTTACACACATTTTACATACCTATGGCCCATAAGGTATCGCCCCCTGGTGTCAGCTGCCTTTAGGAAACCATAATGCTTTCCTATTTGCTGCTGACACAGGATGAGTCATGGACATGTTTAATTTCTACTTTCTTTTTGGCTAATTATTATATATTTAATTGATCCAACTTTTTGTGTACTATACATATGTGGATATCTATTTTTCTTTTTTTCTTTTTGGGCTGCTTGTTTGTTATCTATATCAACCACACTTGCAATAAAATGCATTAGTATTAAAAAAAACAACATACTATAGATTCTTTATCTACGTATTCTTTAAGAACTTAAATAGTTCTCGTTTAACTTTTTTTTTTTTTTTATCTCATTGTTTGTATTGTATTATGAAAAAATTATTGATGTTGTAATGTTTATGCCCTTTGGGGCCCATAATTGGAAATAAAATATCTTATCTTATATATGTTAAAAATTTCGACATATTTATTTTGGCATAACGAACATGTACCTGCTTTTTGTGACAACCCTTAAGGAGTATGCTGTCATGCGTTTTCGGGAGATTGGCGCATGATAGTTATTTTTTCCTGAAAGATATCACCAATTCGTCAACACTGTGTAACTGTGAGGGATAAAGAAATGCACAAACGAGGCAACTTTTTAGTGATCAACACCTAATTTTAGATTTGGCGACAGTAACGAAAATGTCAATTTGTTGATTCCGTTACCAAAAATTAAAATAAAACAAGTTAAATTGTGATAACATTTTTTAATTTAAAGTGTTGGTCCACATGGATCAAAAATATGCAGCATATAAATCTGAAACTCATACAGGAATTCGCACACACCCTGGCGACAGCACATGCACCCTCTTATTGAAAATGCGTGTTATGGGATTTGTCTTAAATTTGGACGAAGAATTCGATGTTTGGGGATTATTTCTAATCCTCTCACTGTACAGGAATGTCCTTTTAGGTCAATGTTGTTTTCCAGATTATTTCACAGAATTAAATAAAATTAATTGCATGATTTATGTTTTTTAATACTTTGTTAAATTCATGTCGGTTTGTAGACAATTTAATTTCCCTCCCAGAAATATATTATATAATATTTATAACAAAAGCCCATGAAAAAAATTACTGGATTGATCAATCCAATCTCAGCCAAAATTCTTCTGTTATCTTCTAAATTCTTTAATCGGACTTGTTCATATTCGTTTGCCGGCATTGTTAAACTCCAATTCTAAGTTGATAATCTCAGTTAATGTTTACATTTGCTGAATACCATGTGGTATTTTCCCGCCGTTCATCACATGATTTACTGTTCTCTTGTTGCAGCCTCGAATCGCACGATAAATCTAGAGGACTAATCATGTGTTTGAGGTCACAAGCATCACATGACCCTTCAAAATGGTAGTCGTTCCAAAAGTTTTACCGGTTACTTTATTTCTTGCATTTGTGCTTTCTTTAAGTGTAAATGCAGGCATTCCTAAAATTCTTCGAGGGCGACCAAAAGGTGGTATGCTTGGAGTACCAAAATGGCATGGAAAGAAAGAAGAATTGCCTCCTGACATGTGGCTGAAACAAAAATTGGACCATTCTAATGATGCTGATACATCATACTGGGAACAAGTATGTACCATTGAATATTTAAAATAATTTTCATTTTACTTACTCGTCTAAATTATGTGGTTACTTACTGGGGTAACCTGTTAAACATGTTATTTTTTTTTTAAAGTTTAAAAAAAGTTATTGATATATAATTACCTTTTTATTTTAAAGGTGTACCAAATTATAAAATACATGTATATGCTGTATACACAATGTATTAAATTTTCAAAAGAAATTAGACATCTCTTCCAAACAGAATTTCAGAACGCCATTGATTTGGTCAAGGATTTGTATAGTGAGACTCACTATACAAATCCTTGATTTGGTGTACACTCAGATGCATTTTATAAAATTTCAAGCCAACAAGGCAGCTACCATATTTCAACATCAGTTTAAGGTAGCAATACACAGGTAGGAATTTAGTTTCACATTTTGGCCACAGTGAGTTTTTTAAATATGAAAGTTATTGTGCAATAAAATTAATTTTTAGAATGCTGAGGAATAATGTAGCCTTCAACACATTTATTTAAAAACCAGTTGTTGGCATGACACGGGTTATGTTCTTCTCATATATGTTATGATGGTATGATACTAAACCCCTAACGGGAAGGATTGTGCCTGATATTCATATGATGAAGACATAATCTTTCAATCAGTTTAATTGAAGTCTGGAGCTGGCATGTCAGTTAACTGCTAGTAGTCTGTTGTTATTTATGTATTATTGTCATTTTGTTTATTTTCTTTGGTTACATCTTCTGACATCAGACTCGGACTTCTCTTGAACTGAATTTTAATGTGCGTATTGTTATGCGTTTACTTTTCTACATTGGCTAGAGGTATAGGGGGAGGGTTGAGATCTCATAAACATGTTTAACCCCGCTGCATTTTTGCGCCTGTCCCAAGTCAGGAGCCTCTAGCCTTTGTTAGTCTTGTATTATTTTTAATTTTAGTTTCTTGTGTACAATTTGGAGTTTAGTATGGCATTCATTATCACTGAACTAGTATATATATTTGTTTAGGGGCCAGCTGAAGGACGCCTCCGGGTGCAGGAATTTCTCGCTGCATTGAAGACCTGTTGGTGGCCTTCTGCTGTTGTCTGTTCTGTGGTCGGGTTGTTGTCTCTTTGACACATTCCCCATTTCCATTCTCAATTTTATTCAAAGTGAGTTTATATGAACATCAAGATTATTTTTTGCATGTTGTTTTATAGGCCATTTAATGAATGGCTATTATTTATTTGAATTTATTGAACCATAAAATCAATTTTTGACTTTTATGGTTCAATAAATTCAAAATAAATAATAGCCATTCATTATAAATAAATTTCTATCAAAAATAAGGCTCAAAGAGCTTTTTATATTATTTATATTGACAATAACAACGTACACACATGTTGGCGTATGAATACACAACGTCAGAGTGGGCGTGTCGCCATAAAAATTGACAACATTGAAAATAAAAGTAATACTTTTAACCAATCAGAAGACAGTAAATACACCAAATTATTTATTTTCTGTTTGACAGTCCATATTTTCACATCTGTACCATCCATAGGTAATGTAGGTCCAGAAATTATTGCATTATTTTTCAACAAATTTTTTACATTCAAACTTTTCAATTCAATTTTATGGAAAAATGAAGTGAAATGCATAATTATGCTTTTTATTTAATCTCTTGATAGATTAATGTCAATGGTTTCAGAAAATGTATCCCTCAAATCGATTGAAATTCTACTTTGGACCTAATTTTGGGGACATTTGTGACATTTTCACCCCCCTTTTTGCAATTTTTTTGTGTCAAATAAATATAGATTGTAGCCATGGTTACACCAAAAAGAGATTTTATTTCATCATTTTAACTATTGGAAATCAAATCCATGGATGATGCTGTTTCCATTAATATGCACATACATGTACATGACACAAACAGTAACCCTGATTAGTTAGATAGCAAGGGAAAAAGGATGGTAAAAAATTATGAGTGTCAATTTTAATTTTTTTCCTAACTGTGTATTGCTACCTAAACACAACTTACATCGTCATGATAGTAAACACGTCAAATGAAAAGACAAGCTTTTCCTGAGTTGTCATGGACAGAGAATCAGATAAAAATAGATTTAGGTATTATGATGAAACTGTGATCAGTTCCTCAAAAAATCTAACAACAAAAGTTAATAGTAAGTCATGAACAATTCAGTATACTTACGATCAACTTTAGTTGTAAGATTTTTTATGAAACTGATCACTAATTATTGAGCCAAAGAAATTAAGTCGTAACTTTGTTGCAAAGTCAACATCACAATCATCAGCTGATTGAACTCATAACTTTGGAAGAACTGTGAGATTTTGGTAATTGCCACTAAAAAAATAACTTAAACAGTTGACACATACAGTAATGGTTTATTGCAGACAAAAGAAATTGTCCTGAATTAAGATGATCCAATGTATTACACAAATTGACAGTTAATTAAATCTTAGTCTGACTCTGATGTTATGGAAAAATGAAAAACAAAATGAAATCTGTGATGTTGAAAAGTTCGCCTTTTGCGCTCAATTTTAAAAATGTAAAAGATTTCCATAAAAAAATGGTAGTAAAACTCAAAATTGAAAACTTTAATCTGTGTGTACAACTATATTATGTGATATATTTATATATAAAAAGAAATACTATTTTATACATATCTTTGTTTGTATTTAACACACATTTTATTTTCATTTACTTTCTCCTTTGATTTGTTTATTAAAGGTGTATTTTCTTTATGTGTGTTACAATTACCTTTAAGTAATTTTGGAAGGTAAAATTATTTAAAAATTAATCAGTAAATTACAAGATATGAAAAATGATTATTTGTCTCAAAACAAACTGCATCATGTGCATTATTTTATTAATTCACTTTTCATTTTCTTTTAATCAAATTCCTAATGCTGAATATCCCATATTTACAGAGATATTTTGTCAATGATACCTTCTACAAAGATGGTGGTCCTATTTTCATTATGATTGGAGGTGAAGGTACAGCAGACCCCATCTGGATGGTGGAAGGGATGTGGATAGAATATGCAAAAAGTCATAATGCAATGTGTTTCCAGTTAGAACACAGATATTATGGTAAAAGTCATCCTACTAAGTAAGTTTCTCATATAATTGCCTAAGTTCTAGAAATAGATGCCAAAATTCATTCAGAAATCAGACTTGGAACAATCCAAATCTTAGTAGTATAAATTTATTATGTCCAGTACCAACAGGGTAGAAAGGGATGATAACCAAAGTGCTTGAAATCAGCTTTTAGTTTTAATTTTTGTCTCGCCTTGACGGAGTCAAAAAGCGAGACATAGGTATGCAGCGTCGTCAACAATGTATTAGTTTGTGATTAGGTCTAGTTTATGGTGAACCACTAGTGGTAGGTCAATCATATTTGGTATGCAGTTGTATTAGCATTGGCACATCTCATTTCCATGGAGATTATTTGGCCCTGCCCCCTCAGTCATGGTCTATTGACTTTGAAACTTTTAAAATTCCTTATTTTACATGTATTAGTTTGTGATTAGGTCAGTTTATGGGGAACCACTAGTGGTAGGTCAATGATATTTGGTATGCAGTTGTATAAGCATTGGCATATCTCATTTCCATGGAGATTATTTGGCTCCGCCCCCTTAGTCATGGTCTATTGACTGAAAATTTTGCTAAGTTAACATGTATTAGTTTGTGATTAGGTCAGTTCAAGGGGAACCATTTAGGGTAGGCAAATGTTAATTGGTATTCAGTTGTATAAGCATTAGCACATCTCATTACCATGGAGAATATTTGGCCCCGCCCCCTCAGTCATGGTCTATTGACTTAAAAACTTTTGCTTAGTTTACATGTATTAGTTTCTGATTAGATCAGTTTAAGATGAACTGCTAATGTTAAGTCAATGATATTTGGTATGCAAATTTATTGGCATTTGCAAGTATCGTTTCCATGGAGATTATATAGCCCCACCCCCTCTTCATGGTTTATTGACTTGAAACTTTTACATAGTTTACAAGTTAATGTTTGTATTTAGGTTTGTTTAAAGGGAACGACTTATAATAAGTCAATGGTATTTGGTATGCAGTTGTATTAGCTTTGGCACATCTCATTTACATGGAGATTGTTTAGCCATGTACCTTAGTCATGGTTCATTGACTTTGAATATTGCATAACTTATGAAACATGTTAAAGTATTGCTATTTTAATTTCAACAATTGCATAATCAAAATTACAAAAGGGCAAGACATATCTCTGTGATAACAGTTTATTACTACTTTTCATCTGATGATCAAATGTTTCCAAACCATACATATCTCGTTTGAACACAGCTACATGTCTGACTATCCTACTTGTAATATGATAAACTCTGTTTACATGTTGACAATATTATAATAAGACTAGTTGGAGAAAAAAAGTACACACATCTTGTTGTTCTTTTCACCAAAACAATCTTTTTACATGTACTGAAATATTGATGACCTATAAGTATTTTTATGCCCCACCTATGATAGTAGAGGGGCATTATGTTTTTCCGTCTGTGCATAAGTTCGTTCGTCTGTCCATCCGTTCGTCCGTCTGTCTGTCCCGCTTCAGATTTAAGTTTTTGGTCAAGGTAGTTTTTGATGAAGTTGAATTCAAATCAACTTGAAACTTAGTACAAATGTACCTATGATATGATC